ATAGTCACAGACGCGGATACAGACACAGACACAGGAACAGTCACGGTCACAGTTCCAGTCACATTCGAAGTCACGGTTACAGTCACAGGCACAGTCACGGTCATAGTAATAGTCACAGTCACAGTCACAGTCAGTCACAGACGCGGATACAGACACAGACACAGGCACAGGCACAGGCACAGGCACAGACACAGGCACAGATACAGTCACATTCACAGCCACAGTCACAGCCACAGTCACAGTCACAGTCACAGTCAGTCATGGTCACGGTCACAGTCACAGGCACAGTCACGGTCGCAGTTACAGCCGCGATTGTAGTCACGGTCACGGTTGCAGACACATTCACAGTCACCGTCATTGTCATAGTCACAGTAGGTCGGTCACTAAGTCACAATCGGAACCCGCTCTACCGCCCCAGCCAGCAACGTGCTTTGTTAGGGAATGTCGAGAAAAGACGAAGAGAGGTTGGGAACTCGAGGTTTCCCCAACCATTTGTTCCCAGTGCTTGGGCTTCCCAAGTTTTCCCCAATCGAGCTCTTGCCACCGGCAATCGTTTGCGGAAATTTCAGGTTTCCCCGAGGCACCCCAACCGCCAGATTTCAGATTTGCTTGAGGCGGTCATTTCCGGTGCGTAATCGCCCCCGGCATCTGGGGGAAAACTCGATAAAATTCCCTGATCTGTCTGGGGAACATTTGGCTGTTTGGGAAACATTTTGGCGAATTCCGATCGGCATCGGCCATTTTTTAAATAAATCGTCATTATGGAGAGCTCGGAGACAGCTCCGGATACGCCGCTGGTTGGGAATTATGGAAACGGCCCGGAATAGATTTAGAGCACCGACCTAAGTGTCTCACTTTCGTAGCTGGTCCCAAGCTTTCCCCAACTGGAGAGTTGGAAACAGTAGGGATGCCTGGTCGAGATCGGACCGAAATTGTTGGCTCGGGTCGTCCAGTGACATCAGAGGGCCTCTGGGCTCATGACCGTGAGTTCTATCTTTACCCGGGACCATGTCTAAAGAACCAGAGACGGTTGACAGGTGCGACATTCATGGAACACGACTGACTTTTCTGTCGCAACTGCAGATTTATCACGCAGGAGTTTTTCTGACTACTGAATCGTCAAGCACACGGTCATCCAACTATTGGACCGTCCAGAAAATATTAATTCGGGCGTCTGAAAAACGATTTTACCCCATTGAAACGGACAGACGCATTTGCCACGAAGGAGTTTGGCATTGGCATAATGAATCCTTATGGTCGCTTGATGTGGGTGTTTAGCCGGTACCACCCGATACATTGAAAGTCAGCTAATTCAGGATAAGAACTCGTGATGCACCATTTCAGTACAGCGCCACCTTCCACATGAACAGGGTCACGTCCTACACTGCACTTCGCCAGTGCCATGTGCGCACACCACCAACGTCTGCAGAGTATAGGCTACAGTGGGTCGGCACATACCCCAACGCATGAGGACATCTGACGTCCTTGTGGACGACCGCGCCTGTACCTCGGCGATCTCTGCGTCCACTCGGGCGTCTGTGCGCCTCGCAGACGGGCAGCTAGTTTGCGACCGGCGGCTGCTGCCGAGCCGCGGGAGGCCAGCGCCATGCGAACACCTGGCCAAACGCCCCGTCATATCGACCTGACCCGGGGGCGCCGCCGTTCGATGCCTGGAGCGAGACCCGAGGCGACCCAGCAAGTTTAAGCAGTCGCCAGCGTCCCTTATGGCGCCCCCGCAGCTGGGCCTGGCGTTTGTCAGGATGGCGCCGCGGCTGGGACTGCTGTTGGGATAGGGTAGCCTCTGCTGCGACTGCGGTCAAATCTAGGGTCGCTGTGACGTTACCGGGACGGCGATGCCTGGAGGAGATGAAGATTAAACATGCGGGAAAATCATGCGAGATGTTAAACAAAATGTACATTTTGAAAACTGTCATCCATGTTAAGAAGAAAAGTATTTTGTACAAATTCGTGCTGCTCTAGGCAGATATACCCAATAGGCCTATCACCCTGTCTTATCACTATGTAATATTTCACCCACTTTTGTATTCGCCATTTTCGCCGTTATGTCCAGCAATAGGACTGGCTCTTTTATTCTGTGTCCTTGGGCACACGTGGTAGGTCCTGATGCGTTGCAAGCGTTTTGATAAAACACTTCAAGACGTGTTGCAAGTGCCGCACGCGTTCTTGGACATGTGGTGCAAATGATGCAAGCATTTCTGACCTCTACGACTGGTTTGCATCCCTAGTTCGAGACGCCCTGTCTAAGAGCATTTCAACGTGTCTTCAGCCCAGGTGTCTAGGGCTATTCGACCCCTTCAGGGCGCCTTGGTTACTTTGGGTTAGCACGGGTGTCTCGGTCCCCTCGGCATTTCACGTCTTTGGCCGTACCGTGTCTTTTGGCCGTTTGACGGTTCAGACCGATATGGGCCTTTCCGCACGCATATGTCGGTGCGCCGGCTCAGGAACAGCCAAGCACTTCAGAGCCCCTGGAGAGTCTCGGGTCCCGTTGATTTTCTCGAAATTCGGAACTTAAGCGTCCTTTGATCCCTTGATGCCATGTGTGCCGTGGTATCGTTTCGAGCCCTATAGCTTTTGGGGGTCTGGTGACCGTCCAGGTACCCTAATACCAATCACGAGGTCAGGATTTCACGCAAAAGGGAGCAAAGCCCTTTCAAGCAAAGCGCCCACTTTGTTGATGTGGAGACCTGTCTTAAATCCGGGTGACAACTTCGGCTTGTGATCGTATCGTGATGTTTCGAAGGCCCGCTTGTTTCTAGGGCCGCTGCAGGCGTCTTAAACACAGTCAAAAATGTTGTTGGGTCTTTTGACCCGGGGGTCCCTCGCCACCTCCAGCAGGGAGGGGGGGGGGTCATGGCCACAAATTTCCTCTCCGCCATTGGATACATCACAGTCCACGACCCATGATCGTGTTTGTCCTATTGACAGTTTAGAGATCTTTCCGAAATTCAGAGTTCTTGTTCATCACAGGGAACCTTAACCGTCCACCAGCCGCTATCCCCTGTCGGACCCCAAAGCATTAATGATTCCTGAGCGCATTGGGGTTATCTGATCATCTCGGGGCCTCTGACAGCGTTGCAGCTACCTAAATAAGTCAGTTACTAGACCTCCCACCACACCAGGCCGTTCGGCACTGAAAGTATCATCGGGACCTCAGTCCCCTCGCCCAGTCTCCCCTCAGTCCCCTCGATCCGTGGTGGTGTCGGGGATTCAGGACCGTTTCGGGGCCTCTTGATCACTTCACCTCTAGTATGCAGTTGTCAGGTGACCTGTCCTGAGCTCAGTCATCAGGTGACCTGTCCTGAGCTCAGTCGTCAGGTGATCTGTCCTGAGCTCAGTCGTCAGGGGACCGGCCCTGAGCTCAGTCGTCAGGGGACCGGCCCTGAGCTCAGTCGTCAGGTGACCGGTCCTGAGCTCAGTCGTCAGGGGACCGGTCCTGAGCTCAGTCGTCAGGGGACCGGTCCTGAGCTCAGTCGTCAGGGGACCGGTCCTGAGCTCAGTCGTCAGGTGACCGGTCCTGAGCTCAGTCGTCAGGGGACCGGCCCTGAGCTCAGTCGTCAGGTGACCGGTCCTGAGCTCAGTCGTCAGGGGACCGGTCCTGAGCTCAGTCGTCAGGGGACCGGTCCTGAGCTCAGTCGTCAGGGGACCGGTCCTGAGCTCAGTCGTCAGGGGACCGGTCCTGGGCTCAGTCGGCGGGGTACCGGTCCTGAGCTCAGTCGTCAGGTGACCGGTCCTGAGCTCAGTCGGCGGGGGACCGGCCCTGAGCTCAGAGCTCCGCACTCTGAGCTCCGTTCCGTTACGTGATCGGTCGGTCCGTCACGTGACGGGTCCTAAGCTGATCTCCCTCTGAGCTCTTTGACCGTCTAGGAGTCCGGCCAAGGGCCTCCTCTAAACCTTTGACCCTCCTAAGGTCTGCGTCACATCGGGGCCACCTGGCGGCCTCGAGACACCGAGATTCTCACCAGCTTGACGGCCTGCATCGCATCGGAGCTCGCTAACACTCTTGACCGTCTCTGGTTTCCTGAGTAGCGCGTAGGGCTTGGTTCATTTGCTGAACACCTCCCTTGGGCACGATTGGACAAGAGTAACACACTTTTTATACGAAGCACGACGATTACTCTCCCATCGGTATTGCTGGTAATTTCGAAGACCGCTTTCAGCCCCAGTCAGTTTCTGGAGCTCGTGACAGTCAGACATCCATGCCAACTGCATCAGCTTGTAAATTAACCCTCCACCCCTGGCCAATGGTGATGATCCATTGTTCGCGCATGTCAGATGGGGTCGTTTCTGACTGTGCCTGCGAGAAAGACTGCAATTGAGGCGGACGACGCCAGTCGGGGTGCTTTTAGCTCCAGGTGTCCTTTCACCGGAATCCCTCGACTCCGGCACGGCGCACATGAAACCTCGTTTTGTGCGAGTTCTCCACCATGCTCTCCGTAATCCAATGTGTTTGTTCCATGCGTATTACAGTTACCCACCGACCACGATTTTCGGAACCTTGCTTAATTCTGCGCGGCAAGTACTAACGCAAGAGATCACTCCAAGGGTGCATACATAAGTAAACTACACGATAAATCTGCGTTAACGCGATGGATTCATTTCCTATTCGCCTACTTGTTATGGGGTCTAGCAGCCTAGTCCACCCAGTCTCCGCAGCTTTAAGGCTGCTCTATTTTTGGAGCTAAGTCGACTGAACCACACGTTATGTTAATCTTCGTGCAATAATTTTGATCCCCTGGCCACCGTACAGAAGCACGTGAGCTCAGAAAACGACGGGCAGGTGTTCTTGGCGCCATGCTAACGGTACGTTTGATCGCATTGGGGCGGCCCGTTCGTACGATGATAACTCGTGCAAATGGACTGTGTCGCGAAAAGCATCGTTAATTTATCACGTGAATTATAGCGCACGAGAACCAAGATGGCGTCCGTCACCTGAAGTAGAGCCTCCACGAGCAGCGGACTGACGGTGGTAAGGAGCCTGAACCTCACGGACCGCGACTGTGCTGCCACGCATCGGAGAAGCCAAAAACCAATGATGGACTGGTAATGCCACCTGTGGGAAGGAGATGGAAGCTGAAGTTCCGCGTGCGCCATGCATGCTGCAATCCTCGTTAGGAACACTCGGAAGACTCGAAAGAAGAAGAAAGGCAGCGGCAAGTTCGACCCTCTACCCCGGCACGTGGCTACGCGGGAAATCCCCCCGTTTCCACCACACCCGCCGTTCAGAGCGTGGGGCACCGAACCTCCACCTCCGAAACCAAAGGTGAGATGAAACCCATTGCACCCAGGAAGCCGGTTGGGGTCGTCATGCACGGGGGCGTTACAGTGGTCCACGCCAGGCGCCAGCTGACGACGCACGGCAAGTGAGGATAACTAAAGAGGACGATTCAGGTGCGTGTGCTCCCCCCCACCTATTGGAACGCCACAGCCAAAACGAAAACCGTCAATATTTCCCACTGGGGAACGAGACCACCCCGTCCTCTTCGCGCTGCCCTACTCTCTTGAATGGCATGACTGTTTGTATTATGCGCCGCAGGCGTGACCGTGAACGTTGATGTTACGAATGAGGTAGGAGATTTTTGTCCACCTCCCGCTGGCGGCGCCTGGGAGGGGAGGGGGGTCGAGTCCCTTTTCCCTCCCAATTCTTCCATCACCCATCTCTCCAAGCTAGAATAGCCGTAAGAAAGCTCATACTTCGTCTGCTTTATGCGATGCATCTAAGGCCCTTTCGCGCAATGCGCAGCCCGCTCCAGTAAGCGGAGTTATTCCCCGTTTGCGGCAGGGGTGCAGCCAGGATTTTCTTAAAGGAGGGGGTGGAGCTCGGTTAGTACACATCATGCCAACTTTTCTTATTTTCTGTCGGGAGTAACCTGAGGTGACAAACGATGAAGTCCGGGGAACAGGCATCCCAGCCATCCCCCTTGGAGCGCCCCTGGTTTGCGCTAGGATTCCTGATCACACTTTATTGCTTAGTAGCTGCTGACTTAGTTCTTAATTGCTTAGTAATTGCTTTATTACGTAGGAATCACTGTTTGTGCTAGTATTGCTAGACGCACTTTGCTCCTAAGTAATTGCTGTCAGCAGACAATGAAGCCATAGCTCAGTCGATAACCGACAACGTTATAGCGACAATACCATCTAGCGAACTTATGTGCGATCGCACTGGTCTTGGCCACCAGCTCATCCAGCCCAGCCACATTAAAAATCCAGGCTAGCGACATGGAGGTACTGCAACTTGCTTTAGACTTTTGAAAACAAGTTATTTTCCCGTGATTTTCACCAGCCCATAAAGCACGTTTCAGTGGGTCTGTGTGTCTGATATCGTTAGCATTACAACATTATTTTAAGTTTCAAAAACTGTATCTTTGAAATGTGCTATAAACTATGTTGTGTGTGGTCATTGCAATCATACGTCACGCATACATGTCTGTGTTTGTTCACTATGTATTCATTCCGAGTTAATGCGCTTCACGCCGTAAAACGAGTAGATTCTGAGTAGTTCTACTTAAACTGTCGTCCTTTTCTTATAAAGACGCATTGTTGAGAAGTGCCTGTGCAATAACCAACGGAGCAAAAACAAACCTTAGTTGTCGCTATCCGCTCGATCCATTGAAATTATTATTAAGTAAACAAAACAATGGCCTTCACAACTATAAGCATTATCCTTTAGATACTCAGAAGGTTCATGGCAATGAGAGCATGACTGTGCCAAAAAGAAACTAATAATAAAACATGACACTTATACTGGTGGTTAATTAGTTAGCATGGTTCTGCTGAGACAATGCTACGGTATTTTCCCTATCCAAATGGTGGTTGGGTTACAACTTTCAGGAGTACATTCGACAATGGCTTTTCCTGGTGTCCGCGGCCGACTACTTTCAATCAAATTGAAGGCAAGACCTCGCTCTTTTTCCGTTTACTGGAAAAAGCAGAATGAGGTTTGAAATGGTGTGTGAATTGTTGTATCATAATGGTATCATCATGGAATTATATGATAATGGAATCATAATGGACACGTGGAACTTAAATGTCTGTCTTGCATCCTTTTTCATTGGCACTGCCCTTGTTCTCATCTATATCGTCTCTGAAGTATCATTTTGCGTCATATTATTCATATCAATACACACTATGATATGATATTTTGTTATTGTTGATTATCTTAGCCTCTCATTATATTATTATTGTCTTATTACAAATATTATTATTCATGGCGATGATACCAGCGTTCAGCAGAAAAGAAAACTCAGATCGTATTCCTTAACGGTGTAAGTCAGAATGCATGTCTGGTACATTGTGCTGTACAGGTGGCTATCGCGGTCGTCTGTTCCGTAATTAATTAAGCCACTCGATCACACTGAACTACTTCGTGCGTTTCCTTGAGGTTACGTTTATAGCATGCCGTAGTCGTGCGTGGAGCTTTATAAACCTTGTGTTATCTAGCTGTATGCCTGCTTGATTGAGTGCCACATACATGTTCCATTTACATAGATACCAGGACTGTGGAGTCATTTGCCACATCATGATGGCCACCAAAATGATTAATATTTTGATATCTCTTGTGTATATCGTCTTCCCACGTGTACGTTATCAGTAGAAATGCAGCAAAACAATCGCTAACATTACTGCCCTCCAAGGCTTGGCATGTTTGACCTACAACTATGCGATCGCGGTCAAGGTCAGATGTCTGGACATACTGCGATGCGCACACTGAACACGGGGTATATAAAGCTTATTTAAATGTATCCGGTTGCCGATTCAAAGAGTCACGTCGGTAATCCCCACTCATATGTCTTCAGAATTAATCATGATTACGTTAGCACGCCCCCTGAATGTGATTATAGACCTGAAATGGGTGAACAAGCATGCAAAAGGGTACAGTGTCGCTACAGTGGCCCTTGCAAACACTACCTGCTGAACATTTTGTTAAGCGTGGGAGTTAGCAACACAGCTACAGCTGCTGCCAAGCCAGCTCAAACCCGCACAATATCTTCCAAAATTGGCTGCCCGCATTGTCCATTCCAAAGGACGGGGCCCATTCTATTAACCACTGCCTGCCAGCTCCAAAAGAGCAGCACAGTCAGACATGTACGGCGCAAGCCCGCGACGGGCAACAACAATGGGCTGCTGCCCCACGCTGCCGGCGTGATCGACCCTCTCTAGCCGGCCGCCCTTCAAGTCGACTTACACTCCTCATAAGCCGCCCGGTCCGCGGCGACCACAGCTCAGCCAGGCTTGGCCGGTAATCGATGGCGCCGTGCCGTGTCGGAACCCGGTATCGGCGCGCTCGTGAGGCGTGCGCACGGCAATAGGCGCGTAACGGGTGCGCGCCAACTGTCGCTGCCGTCGGTGTGCTTCAAGGGTCGTCGCTGTGCCCGCCCGTGATTGCTGCCGCCAGCGGCGGGTGTGATATGGTGCGCTGAGTGGTGAACGGAGCTGCGGCTGGGCTGGACTGGAGCTTAACTGGACTGGGCTGAGCGGAGCTAGAGGTGAGCCGGACTGCACTGGATCTGATCTGAAACAGAACAGGTGCTGGGCTGAAGTCGGACAGGAGACAGTCTGAAGACGAGCTGAAGTTCTAGAGATCTGGAGACCTGGAGCTGATTTGAGGCTAATCTGGAGCTGAACTGAGCTGGAGCTGAACTAGAGTGAAGTGGAGCTCAACTGGAGTGAAGCGGGCCGAACTGGACTCGAGCGGAGCTGAACTGGACGCCCGGGATGTGGCCGTATATGTGATTGCGAATCTGGACGTCAGAAAGGTGTCGCCTGCCCCCTGACCTGCATCTTTAGCCTGGCGGCTTTGTCGCGAGCACCGCCCCTCTCGTCTTACCATCTTCGAGCTCGTCTCGTCCTGTCGAGATGGCTCTGCCTGGTAACGTTCGATGATGCGGGGTGCCGCAGTGCCCGTGTGAACACAAATTCGGGAGTCGGACCACCTACAGGTGGACGCCTGAGAGCACCAAGGAAGTGGGACACCGAGAGCAGCCAGCTTGAGGATGCTGAAGTACAGACCTCGCCTGCCGGGGGTAGCGCAGAGACGTCAGTCGACACATTCGAACTCCGCCGCGAACTCCGCGGCGGTCTCAGACCCGGTACGCTGTCACCCACGTGTCCGGGCTGTAGGAATAATTGCTATTGGCCACTCATATCTGTCATTGTTTTGTGGCATTGCCAAGCTGATCGCTGCTCCCGACCAGATTTGCCATTGTCCGTCTGGCAGCAGCTTCAGGTAACAGGCGGGCATTGATCTTTTCACCGCCGTTGCAATCGCGCCAAAGTCTACATCAGCGCGGTCTTATAACCGCATAATTCAAAGTTTGTAACTTGGCACGTATATTGCAGCGGTTGCAAACTAACTGGAATACCCAAATTACAAATGCAATCAATGTATGTACGAAAATCGTTGAGGTACCCCTGATTTATGATGCATTCTTGTCTGTCGTAAGGTTGTTCCTTACCTTAACAGTTCTGCAAGGTTTTAGCCTTACCCTGGTTTGGAAAGCCAGCAGGCGTTAATATATTTTCATAGTAGAATTGTTTTGGCCGTCATGCGCAGAACGTGTAAGGTGGTAACATTTTAGTTTCTGGGGATTCTGTGGACGGATGCGGGCTGAGAAGATGATTTGGGAACAATTATTTTACCCTTTCCAGAACAATAGACTCAAGCTACTCTCAGGAATAGGGCATAGCACGACTTTCAGTTAAAACTGCTTAAGGTAACATTTGCAGTGCCAACAACTATGATTTAAATTAATACATACTTGTACTATGCATGACTGCACTTGTGAGCGCGCTTTTGGCCGTATTACAACTGGCTCCTGAAACACGTGACAGAGCTGTCATTTGCTGCAATTTTAAAATTTAAGGTGGCTAGGGCGGTCCATTTGTATACCATGATCCTAATAGCTTTGTGGTAAGAGAGTGGTATTGTCTACCGCACTTTTCCTGGATATGTCCCTGAGGTCAGTTTGGGCCCACAGTTTAAGTTTAATGGGGTGTTGTGTACAGACCCACTACCAGAAGCAGCGCGTTTCGAGGCCAAAGGAAGGCTTTACTCACAGCCTCTTGACCAGAAAGGACTGCGGATGGATGTTTCAAGAAGATCAGAACACCTAAAACAAGTACGGTAATATGCCTGAGGCTTAAATTCTGCTTCATGCCTGTTTCAGCTGGCGTCAACTGGCGTAGCGTCCTCAACAGCTCTCGTTCAGCTGGCCGCTTTCTCCAAGCGGCCTTTGTTGTAGTGGTCATTCTTCCCCGACTATG